ACACCTAAAATTTTCTCAATATCCTTCAATGTGTATTACTTGGGTAAAATTCTAAAAAGTTTATGTTTGATCGAGTTATTAAGGATTAACGTGAAGATCGGAACCATACCCTCTTTCTGATTCGAAGTCTTTGGGTCTGTACGGGATGTAAAACTCTTTGTCTCGACCCGACTGCCTGTTCTTTTTGCTCTTAGGTCTGTCCACATCCATGTTCTCGTCCTGTTTCCGTTTCTTTCCTCCGACCACTTTCGAGAACACACCCTGACAGATGCAGAAGAGCCACACTGGTTTTTGTGGTCATCCTTTTGTATAATATTCTTTGGTATTAGGGTTGCAAAATTGCTAAATTGATAATCTAATATTTTACTTATTTTGTGAAATTAAAACCACAGTTATCAATCAGAATTATTCCACCAGCTTACGAACCAAAAAAAGATTAAACAAAATCATTTTTCTCTTTCACATTGTATATTACAAGCCCATATTCCCTCAAAGGAATAAGCCTACATAGCAGTATAGACTTAATACAAATACATAAATAAATGTGCGACACCCCAGGACACAATAAAACTTTTAGTAAACTTTCAAATAAAGTGAACTGTCTTCTAGACTCACCTGAAGGTCTTCATCATCATCCTCCTCTTCCTCCCCATGGTGCAGTTGTGTTGTGGCAGAGTTCTGAATAGCTGGACGATTCTGCTGACTCTCGGCCTGCATCTCTTCTCTTGTCCTCTTGAATTTTTCCACCAGACGGCTGTCCCGAGAGCGCTTCGTCCTCATTACCTCACTGGCACTGGTTTTGTTGTTGGAGTTGATCTCAAATATAGTCTGAGAGATTCAGGTAGTGCATGTGTTATATACGGTAGATCTATTTATGTTTGACTGGCATTCTGAGTAACTGAGTATCTGCGGTGAAAGGATGGACCTGACCGACAACTTAATACCAATATTATAATGCATTCAAATTCATGAAAAATACTAAATTCAAGTTTAATTTACCTATATTTGAATTCATTTTCTTAAAATTGACACACAGAATTCGAAAATTTTATACTGCCATAGACAGAGTGAACATTAGTACTAGTGTAACGCTAGGAGTTCATATTGCATAAACCACAGAAAAAGAAAATGTCACTTTTTTAAGCAAAGAAAATCACAGATCTAGTGAAATAATTAGTTCTGAATTTTTTCCTTGTACAATTAAAATAAGAATATCTACAAAACACATTTTGTCATTTTATACCGGCCTGTTTGTGCCCATTACATAAAGAGATTTTTACAGAAAGCCCTTAAACCCCAATTTTGATTTCACTGCACTTTAAAATCTACCATATGCTTGCAGTGCATTGTGGGAATGCACACAAACCCTTGGCCGCTGACGCTACCTATGAAACCTCAAACATAACAAATTAACTCATGCTGATATAGGAGAACATTTTCGAAAATTGTCAGACATTACTGAAGAACACTAATGAGGTATGAATTGTTGCATTTGGGACGAAGCAGTTTTCCGTTATTTACTCACAGATTTTGATTTGTAAGCCTTGATCGAGTCGACCATCTGCAGTCTCTCCAGCTCCATCTTCTCAAGTCCTGACCCTGGAAACATGCCAGAAAATACCACTCTAACCAGGGACAGGTCATCAAGACAACTAGACTTCAACCTGATATTAAAACTCACAAACCTAGCAGTGGATGAACAGCTACGGAGGACAGATCGGAGTTCTTCACCCGCTTGATAGATTCTGGTGAGGGGTTGGGTCGGGATTTCAGGTACTGCTTGTAAGCGTTCTCAGAGATCCGTTTGAGGTTCTCAAGGTCTAGACAGTTCTCATGAGCCGTAAGGACGTGCGTGTCCTCGTCATCCAAGATGCTCTGTGGGACGCGACCCAACACTCCATCAGCATCTAGACAAAGAAGATAAATAAAAGACAGCCTCTTGTTGATCAGTTTTGTCAATTATAAACAAAATATCTACAGAAATACTGCTGCAAGCAGCGATCATTGGGGTCCAAGCACCAATCCGAAAAGAACCGACATTTATTTGCTGCAAAGATCAAAACAGAACTTTAGAAATCAAGAATGTTTGAGAATAATTGGCAAGTGAGTCCTAATGCACGGACTAAGAGAAGGATCTTTTAGAGGTGAGATACCCTGTGAGTGATCAATGGTTGCAAGATGCAAAGGTCGTCCAAGAAAGAGGTGAAGGTCATAAACAAAAGGCACTTCGTCTGGGCACACCAGGCTGAAGGCTCTACCACTCCTGCCAGCACGGGCTACGCGACCTGCACAACAAAACAACAAGAGTCCATCAGAGCAGTGTATGCTCATACACACACATACACAATATAATAAAACACAAAACACATAACATATTTAAAAAAAATAAATAAATAAAATAGTGTTTCAGTTCAAGTTAGCTAGCTAGCCAGTGTGGTAGGTAACGTTTGTTAAGTTTGTTAGTAAAAAATAAACTACATTTCAGATAAGGTATTCTGTGGATGGGGCTTGGAGGGGCTATATTACAAAAACTGCAAAATCCCAAACTGTCCCATAACCTGCTCTCTTTAACAACTAATATGACAGTATTGGTGACTTAGCGCCTGGAAGTCTGATCCTCAGCATTATCACATCCACATCTTGTCCACTTCTCCAGGAAAATGCAAGGCTTTGTTTCATTTTTTTTCTGCCTCCTAGTGGACATGTTCATGTTACATGCAAATAAGAAGGCAGACAACTATGTAACCATGGATGCAGAAGTACAAACCAGGCCTTAGAATACACCCTGGGCTCCACAAACCTCACTGATTTCAGTATCTAAACCATACCACTATAATCAGCTAAAAACCACCTCCAAATATAGACAATTAAATTGATTTAAACTGAATTACACAATTAAGCTGATTTAATTGTGCACTGAACATACCAACTCTGTGCAGAAAGAGCTTGGCCTTGGAGGGGAAGTTATAATTAATGACATTGTCCAGGAGCGGGATGTCGATACCACGAGCTGCCACGTCCGTCACCAGCAGCACCATTGCTTTGCGGTGGACAAAGCGACCAATGTTGATCTTTCTGGCCGTCTGGTCCAAAGCGCTGTATATGTACGCACACTCGATTCCTTGTGAAGTCAGTAGCTAGTCATGAAAGATTAAAGAAATAATAATAATAAACACACACTGGGGAAGACATTCTTTGTAACAGCAATCACCATGTAATATATATAATAATATATAATATTTTACGCAGTATAACTCAGGCTGTTTTTCAAAACATTTTGTCCACCAGGATGATTTTAGTTTCTGCCAAATACCACAGTAATATCAAACTATAATAAAATGCTTGCCAATTACACAAACACACATACACAAAACGGTCTGCACTATAGGAAAAATTTTTTCCACACTATATTTTATTATATCTCTATACATTGTACAGCTCTGTATATTTTCATATTTTTTTCTTTACATGTTCTATTTATATATTCATATTCTATATACATATATATCTATTCTATTTATATATCTATTTTATATATTCTATTTTATTCACATTCCTCTATAGGCTGCTAGATTTTATTATATGTCTACTAGATATTACTATATAGTCTACTATATTTTAATTATACTCTGTTTTTATTATGTGTGTGTATATCTTAGTTTGTTGTTGGCTCTGTTCATTGTTGCACTGTGGGTTAAGGAAATAAGGAAAAACATTTCACTACATTACATCACATGTATGTAACATGTATGTGGCAAATAAAGAACCTTGAATCTTGAATTGTTATAAGAACAGCGTATCAGGACATAGCCAGTCAGTAACATTAACTACCCTTTCATAATATTTTTTATATCACTGCAGCACTGAATTGTCAATTCTGATTGATCAGAATGTGTTGATTAATTTTCTCTAGCAGCAGCTCTGACAGTAGTTCCAGCTACGAGGCAGATCGCAGGGTTATATTAATGCACTCATTCTAATATAGTATTGTTTCTATAGGAACAACATCCATATTAACATCACTATAGTCGTTGATTATTTTCCTATAACAGCACACCTCAACATGTTTTATTACTTACTTAGTTATACAGAAATAATTCTGTATTTTCTTAAAGATCAGAGATGTATGTTTGAGAACTTTACAAAGCATTACACGTAAAATAATATCCTTAAATCCCGTGGTCAGTTACCTGGTTGAGGTACTCCACGTGGTGTTTGGTAGCCACAAATACGACTGTCTGCTCCTGAGGCTTCACAACATTACGCAGAAGATACAGCAACAGTGCAGGCTTGTCATCCAGACGCAGGTGAAAAAATGACAGCTAATGGGGAGAAACAAACCTGGTTTTCGTTTCCTGCCTGTCGTAGTACATATTGAGATATGAAGATGTCCTTCAGCTGACAATTGTTCCAATTTACCTTTAACTGATCGCTGAGCTTACTGTCGACATCTAGACGGACCAAGACTGGATCTGTTAATCCTGTGGAAGAGAGAACAGAGATGCTTATGATGTGCTGATGAAGACCAGGTTTATAACTGTGGCTTCTTCACAATAAACATGAAATCAGCATATTTTTTGCTAACTCTGACAAAGTGAGTGGTCTAACCTGCTCTAGCAAATTCCACAATAAGTTTGGGCAGCGTGGCAGAGAACAGAAGGGTCTGCCGAGTTTCAGGGAGTCGTCTAATGATCTCCTGCAGTTGCTCAGTGAAACCCATTTCAAACAATCTGTTGAGAAGAACCACAGCACAAATGATTCACAAAATCCAAAATGTAGCTTACAATAAAACGCTATTACTTAAGGAATAAAACGGGACAAAATGGCAAAGTGCTGTGGAATGAGACGAATGAAACACTTCAAGATAAGACAAAGTCTTTAGTTGTCACATATATATTACAACACAGTGAAATTCTTTTCTTCACATATCCCAGCTTGTTAGGAAGTTGGGGTCAGAGTGCAGGGTCTGCCATGATACAGCACCCCTTGGGCCCAACAGTTGCAGCTTGGAGGTGGCTTGAACCCCCGACCTTCTGATTAGTAACTCAGAGCCTTGACCGTTGAGCCACCACCACCACCACCACAGACGTGCTGTTATGGGAAAATAATCATCTTTGCAGTAGTAACAGTAACTCCACTTCGCATCGGGCCACATCATACCACTCCAAAGTTGAATATTTTCCAATAACAGTAAGCCCTGGAGTTTTTATTTCCCTTATGCCACAGCAATTCGCCAACACTAACAATTAATTATTTATTAAAGCATGACACATCATGTAAAAACATGGAACATCCGCAAAACAAGTTACTTTAGTTACACTATAACAGCTGTAAACAGCTGTCAACAGCTGTTGTTCCTGCATCAGCTTGTCTTTTTTTCCATTCAAAGTTAACAAGATAAAAGCACTGACCCTGGAGACTCCTTCCAAAATGCAACACAAACATCTCCGCAGAAAGATTTGCCATATCAATGATTATGCACTTTAAAATAAATCTATTTGTTATTATCTATTTATTTATTAGAATAAACGCGTTCATCTAAACCTGTGTTTTACCTTGCATCTGAACTACTGTCTGAGCGGCTGTAACAGATTATTACTCAACACCTTCTGACCAGTCGAGAATTCAACAGCGCTGTGCTAAAAAAACTATAAAGTCAGGATGGTACTGCAAGCACTGGAAACGTTATGAAAACAGAGTCACTTGAAAGACCTAGGTGCTTACCGATCCGCCTCGTCAAACACCACATACTCCACATTCTGCAGCTTGAGGTTCATTTCCATGACGACGTGCATCAGACGGCCAGGAGTACCAATGATGCTGGAGAAATACACGGAAGAATAGTTCTAGCTTACAACGAGTGACAATTTCATTTATATCATTTATCATGTAACATCATCTCAACGTAGTATATAATATAAAATGAACTAGATGGTGCCAAGGTTTCTACTGTAATGGTGCTACAAAAAAGAAAGAATAATGTGCAGATATAACAATGCTTGCTGACACACTTACATGTCTGGATTTTCATGTAGAGCAGCAAACTGATCATCCATGCTGAAGAAAAAAAAAAAAAAACATATCAATGCCTGCTTAAAAGCCAAAATTGCTCACACGTTAACAAAATGATTATTCAAAAAAATTACCTGTCTCCACCAAGGATTAGTGCCGTTTTTAGCCCAGTAAACCTGCCCAGCTGGGAAACAACCAACAAACACTCGTAAATGAGCAAGCAATAATAACTAAAACAAGCTCGCAATGTGTGGCTTTCAAGTCACCTCTTTAGTGAACTTCATGGTCTGTAGTGCCAGCTCTCTCGTGGGTGTGAGGATCAGAGCTCTAGCGCCCGTCTGAGCTTGAGGTCCCTTCAACCTCTCGAACATGGGCACCAGGAATGCAGCCGTCTTCCCGCTCCCTGTCCTTGCCATGGCAACAACATCTTTACCATCCAGGATGACGGGAATAGTCTGTCACAACAAACGCACACATCATGAAAAGGTCACGAGAAATTCTGGGGAAAAAAACGATTGATGAAGAATGAGATGGGACTCACTTTTCTTTGGATAGGGGTCGGCACATTGTAGCCCTTCTTCATGACCCCTTTATAGACAGGGTAGCTGAGACCTACGCAGTGGGAAAGATGATTTTCAGTGAGAGTTCAGTGTGTAAAAGTCAGTAATATGTTTTTTGACAAAGGTCTCCAAATGGACATACCCATGGACTGAAAGCCTCCAGACTTTTTCTTTTTCTTGTTCTGAGCACGCACCATCTCTCTCGTGTCCGGTTCTACATCCGACAGGCAATCAGAAGATGTGGGGAAGCGAGGCAGCTTTTTACCAAACTGTGAAGAACCAAACAGTCCGACATTTCAACACGAAAATGTTAAACACTTGGTTTATTTGTATAACTTTACAACCTATGGTGACTTCTAAGGAATTTGAATGGTTCATAATGATTAGCACTTCTGAGGACTAGTAATTACATCAAGTCTCATTCTGGTTCTCTGTTTGAGTGTACTTCTGAGTCTTCTTTATTTTTCCTAAAACTGCCTTGCATTTGTTTCTGGTCATTTGGTACAAACTTGTCAGATCACAAATATCTGATCACTAATATCATTCTCAGCCTTCATTCAAAGTTGTTTTGAGTTGTTTCACAGATGTGAAGCCTACCACCATGGCACATGTGATGTTTTGCATAACTTGGCAACTCAAGCTTCATGATAGAATAAAAAACACACACACACACACACACACACACACACACACACACACACGTTGCCTTCAAGCCTACTGAAAGGTCTGTTTTGAGTACCAGACTTCCGAATTTTCTAGATTAGAAAAATACTTTTGAATGTAAGGTCAGACTTTTCTATTTGAGACACAGCTCATGACAATAATCACGACGACAGTGGATTTAAGAAAGAGTTCATCAGTCTGTTTAACATCCCTGTGTATGAAATTGCTAAACATTTTACAGTTCGACTTGGAAACCTGACGGACAGGGATGTTTTGCGTTTGGCCTTTTGGTGTGCTGTCTAATCACGATGTTTTTAAATCTCCCCAATGTACATAAGATATGCAGCGAGTGTGTGAATAATAATGATGCTCATGTTGCTTCTGTACATGCACACAAAATCATGCGTCAAGTATAAACCAGAATGTTTCGCGTCGGGGCATATCACACCACCCTGGCGTGGATTATTTCCCTACAACAACACAATACCTCCCACTAGAGTGGTAAGTCAGTGCAAGGAATATTCCTTTGGTTTTTAGTCACTTACATTACACATACAATTAAATGTTCAAATGTTGTAGTCAATCCTATATTATAAATCTGGAATTTAAAAAAAATGAAGATTTGTTTTGGTTTGGGGTCATAGAAAATTCATAATGTCCATTTGGGGTCGTTTGCTCAAAAGTTTGTGAACCCCTGGAATAAATGCAAAAGTAAATGCACCCGGGTATTGATTTTGAATGATTTTAGCACATTAACACCTTCTCTTTCCACCAAAAATCTTCTTATGTGCACTAACAAGCATAATTAGCATTAGTTTTTATCCTATACAGCTTATAAGCAGGTATAAGTCTTTCACTTTTCAACATGTTTAGTGAAATGAGACAGTTTTACCAGTTAATAAGTCAATTTGTATTGTTTATAATGTACTTCCTATCTGTCAGATGGAAACACATGAACACATTGATTAGTGTATGTAGCCTAACACAGCAGCCATGATGATAAGAGGTGACAGCAGTCTAGTGAACATGATTTGTGTTTATTCACTCACTACAACGTCGTCTTTAATTTCAGCAGCTAACTCGAAATCTCCTCCATCTGAGTCCACGTCTGGCTCTCTGTGTGCAGAGGGCTTCTTCTTCTTCCACAATCTCTTCTTTCTCTGCGCCATTGTGTCCTGTGATATATCTCTACCACGATTTATCTACCTCCCTGAGAAGTCGAGAGGAAAATATAAACGTCAAACTATTTAATAATTTAAAAACTCGACGTACAAACTACTACACGACCAAAACAGTAAAGTAGGACATTTTGGAACACGTGTGGTCCGGTTCTTCTTCTTCTTCTTGGGGTTTAAGCGCGTCACAGACAGTTTGTTGAATTAGCGCCCTCTTCAGGACAGTTATCAAAACTACACAGACTATGGTGAAGTATGAGCCACATTTCAACTTCCTCTTATTATATCCTACTGCATAATTGCACTATCTATCTATCTATCTATCTATCTATGTGTATACACACACACACACACACATAGATAGATAGATAGATAGATAGATAGATAGATAGATAGATAGATAGATAGATAGATAGATCCATCCATCCATTTTCTGTACCGTTTATCCTACACAGGGTTGTGGGGAGCCTGGAGCCTATCCCAGGGAACTCAGGGCTCAAGGAGGGGGACACTCTGGACGGTGTGCCAGTCCATCGCAGGGCACAATCGCTCACATACTACTGGCAATTTGGAAACGCCCATCAGCCTACAACGCATGTCTTTGGACTGGGGGAGGAAACTGGAGTACCTGGAGGAAACCCAGAAGCACAGGGAGAACATGCAAACTCAACTCACACAGGGCAGAGGCAGGATTCAAACCCCCAGCCTCAGAGGTGCGAGGCAACAGCGCTAACCTATATAAGTGTGCTATGCATACATATATATATATATATATATGAGTGACCATTCTGTGGGTGGAAATGCCTTGTTTCAGCAGATAGGGGGGCTGTTGGAGGGAACCTGTTTTCAAAAATTCCTGCTTAGGCATTTCATCAGCTATCCAAAGAAAACCTTTGAGTCCTGGCTACCTCTCGTTCCCAGGATGGTAGGACTGTCTCTATATGCTTTTGGAGAATCTATCCAATAGTTTAGCATCAGGTGTTTCTTTCTAATAAATCCAATGCAAATTCTTCAAGCCTAATTGATATCATATTAATTTTTAGAGTACTTTTCTCTGTTGATCGATATGTAATACAACCATAGCCCACTACTAGTCTTATCGTACCAACATAAATGGTTTTCCAACCCTAGTCAGCTGCTGCCAAATAGTGCAGCAGTCAATATTCTTGCATTTAGACAATAAGTTGTCTATGTGACATCCAGGTTTCACTGCTGAATGATAGTGCAGTTAATGTCCACAGGGTGGAGGCACAAGCAGACAAAAACATCCGACTATTTCAAACAAGCAGCTTTACATCAAGAGGAGCCTACTGCAGTTTATAAGTATATACATACAGAGTCAGTGGTCCAACAACTTATTCACATTATAAAATAAATCACTCTCCCCCAGCTCTTCATTTCATTTTCACATCACTGTATCAATATAAGTTTTTAAAATATCCTGAAATACATTTTAGTCTTTTGAAATGCATGAAAGACAGAGGTGGACATTCTAGCATTTGACCATTTCTTAACTGTATATTTAAAATAGACAGTCACTCACCTAAAATAAATAGGGCAAAAGTTTTTATACCCATGGTCTTCAATTTAAAAAAAAAAAAAAAAGGAAAAGTGCATGTGTTTTGCAATTTATCCACAAAAATGAATTTCGAAATGTTTAAAATG